CGGATCTCGGCGCGCGGCTCGCCTCCTTGAGGCCTCCCACCTCGTCAAAGCTGACCGGCCGCTCCTCCACCCGCATGCCGAGGCGGCGAGCCGTCTCGAGGACGACCTGGCGAGGGCGGGCAGGGGCCGGGGTGGTGGTGGGGGCGTTGGAGCTTGCGGCTGGGAGTAGGGGCGCGCGGGCTCGTCGCACCCCCTTGGTGCAGGAGGGGAGGATGGAGGGCGAGGTTGGTGTGACGACTGTCCCCTCCGCCGTGACGCCGATGAAGTTGGAGGTAGAGAACTCCTGGTGACGAGAAGAAGAACCGTGACAACCACCAAGAAGGGTCAGCAGTGATGGAGTTGGAGGCGGCGAGGCTCCTCGACGTACGTCTGCGTCGCCGCGTCGAGGTAGAGGCAGACGGGGTACCTGTCCGCACCACACCACGCCGTGAGCAGCGTCTCTTCACACCTCGGCCAGGTGGACGCCGGCCTCGCCCCGTCTCCTTGGCGAGGATAGAAGGACGTGTCTAGGAAGTGTCTCGGAAGTGTCTGAGGCCTCACCCCTTCTCCTTGGCGAGGATAGATGGAAGCACGTCTGGTGCGTAGTTGCCCGCGGCCTTGATGTTGCCGACGCCGCGCGGGGCGGCGCGGTCGAAGCCCTCGACCACGAGCGCGTCGATCGGCTCGAGCCCGCCCTTGTAGTAAGCGCCGACCGGCGAGGCGATCACGCAGAACGAGTAGTGCGGCGCCGCGCCGAGGCCGAGCTTCTCGCCGTGGCCGAAGAGGAAGGGGCGGAGGTACATCGCGCCTCCGTAGCCGTAGGGAGGCACGTACTCGACGTTGTCGCGGATGCACCGGTCCACCGCCTCGTCGAACAGCTCCGGCGGCACCACCGGCATCGCGAGCCGCTCGGCGCCGCTCTGCAGCCGTGCGGCGTTGGCGTGCGAGTTGAAGACGCGCACGAGGCCGTCCTTGCAGTGGAAGGCCTTGAGGCCCTCAAACAGCCCCTGGCCGTAGTGCAGCACGTTGGACAGCCCGTGGATCGTCACGGTGAACTCGGGCGAGGACTCACCCGCGTCCCAGCCGCGCTCGGCGCTCCAGTTGTACCGGATCATCCGAGCCGTCGGCGTCGCATTGAAGCCGAGGGTCTCCCACTCCGGGAGCGGCGGCGCGGTCGCGTATAGCCGACGGCGAGAGGCCGCGCGGCTGAGCGGCCGCGACGCTCTCCGCAGCATCGAGCCGTGTCAACCTCGGCAAAAGAATTCTCGCGTCGCTGGCCGCGTTGGGTAGCGAGGATTGGTGTGACGCGCAGGCGTGTTTTCTGACGGCCGACCGTCAGTGCACGGAGTTGCCCCTTCTCCGACTGCCCCGGCTAGTTCACGAGTTTCGCGGGAGTGACCCCTTCGCCCCCCGAGACCTAGCGCGGGTGGGTTGGGGGGGGGCTCGCTGCAAGGAAGGGCTGTGTAAGAAGCCGATCCCCGTAGTCCGCCCCGCTCCTCCCCATCGGGCCGCATGAGCGGCCACGCCTCGCAGATTCGTTTTCGCGCCTGGGTCAGGCGCGCTGGGCATCCCCCGGGTCGCTCGACCAGCGATCCGAAGAGTGGCCGCTATGCGATGCGTGCGCCGCCGCACGATGGGGTGCGTGGTTGCTCTGCCCGGCGCTGCAGGGCGCCGAGCCGCCTCTCCGCTGGCGTGCAGGTCGGGATGGGTCTGGTGGTGGGTTGTGAGCGGGCGAGGCGCGCCTCATCAGCCGCTGTCTCGTCGGCCATGCCTGCCAAGATGCTCTCGACAGCGCGCAGAGGTCTCAGGGCTGCGCGCGGTCCGCACAGAGGTCTCAGACGGCCTCCGACCGGCCTGCGCAAGGGAGGGTGAGGTGGTTGATCAGAAAAGTGCGGCGGCGACGGTGCCGCAAGCCTTGCGCCGCAAGCATTCGGGAGGCGTGTGGGCCGCGGGACACAAGGCACCGAAGAGCATAGCGGGTCAGCAAGCCCTAAAACGGCGGGAGGGGTAGGGCTAAATCGATAGAGCTAGAGGGCTCAACCACCCCTCCACCCCTCCACCCTCCACCCCTCCACCCTCCCGGAGCGAGAGGGGTCCGTCCTCGAGCCCTCCCACTTCCACCCCTCCGACCGGAGGGCTCGCCAGCCCACAGGGCTGGAGGGGTCCCCGTCGGATCGGCGTCGGGAGGGCTCCACAGGGTCCCATAGGGCTAGCGCGCTGGGAGGGTGGAGCGGTCCACCGGGGAGAGGGGTCAGGAGGGCTGGGCGAGGCGGGAGGGGTGGTGGGGTCCAGGAGGGCTCGCGCCCCCCCGAGCTCGGGTGGTAGGCAAGAGGGCTCGGTCGCCGGGTGGGCTCGGAGGGACGGTCGGACAAAGAGAGGATCTTCGTGGCGGGAGGGCTCGAGAGGGGTCGGAAGGGCCTCCGGGAGGGTTCGCAAAAAAAGAATGGCGCGGATCTTCCGAGAGTGCCCGCCACGAGAGGGTTAGAGGGGTCGGAGGGGTTTAGAGGGCTGGAGGGCTGCAGGCCTGCTGCCCGCCCATGGACGCGGGTCAACGGCGACGGCGCACGTGATCGAGGGACCGGCGACGGCGAATGAGCTGGTCTCTGCGCCGCACGACTTCACCCACGTTCGCGACTGTGGCCATCCAACAGCCTGCCGGCGCGGCGGGCCGCATTCCGATGCCCCGGCCCGCGCCGGCAGACTGCCAGTGCTTTCCGGGCGGGCCTGCTGCGGGAGGGCGCTGAAAAGCCGCCGTCTTGCCGCCACAGGAGGGCCCCCCCCCCATGGTTTCCGCCAAGCAATGGCCCCCCCAACCGCCGCCCCCCAATCGCCCCCCGCAGGTTTCCCCCCGGAATTTCAGCGGACAGTTTTTTTTGGTGCCCAGGGCCCCCCCCCGGC